TTTTTAAAAAATTAGGCCCTTCTATGTAATTATTTTTAATTTGGGCCTGTATCTGTAATTATTTTCACTTTCCGGGCCCTTATTTGTAAATTCCCCTAAAAATAGAATAACGGTACAACTTCCTTTAATGAATGCTTTGTTCTACTGGCCTACAACATGAAAAATTGTACTTGTAAGAATATTTTTTCTTGATATACTGTATAATAATATCTCTGTATTACAAATTGCATGACTTTGTCTTTCATAAAAAGACACCAACTGAATTATTCATCATTTTATTTACAATAATAACAGAATGTCCAATCAATAAATTTTCAATGAAAAAATTCTGTGTTGGAGTTCTGTATTTTGAAATTGTCACGTCTGAGATATGCTAATTTGGTGACTTCAATTTCCCAAGTTCTGATTGGACGCATTCAAATACCATCTCTGATTGGACAAAGTAAATTACATGGAACTTAAAAAATAAAAAAAATAGAAAAAGTTTAAAAAATAAATAAATTTAAGAAAAATTTAGAAAAAAAATTTAAACAGAATTTAGAAAAAAAATTTAGATAGATTTAGGTTAGATAAAATTTAGAAAAAAGTTAAATAAAATTTAGAAAGAAATATAAGTAGATTTAAGAAAAAATTTTAAATGAGATTTTAAATAGCAAATACTTGAGTTGAATATAAACTAGTTATTGGTATAAAATGTAAATAAATATTTATTTGTATTTTTTAGATAATTATAATTATTATAACATATTTTTTTAAATAATAATTAGATCTACAAAAGTATACTATGCTGAATGATTTAACAAAAATCAACATATTTATAGATCTGTTGCACTTAAATTACTTCACGAATCAAAATGCTTTAGTAATAAAAATATCGTGAAAAGATGATTTTTATTTTCATATATATTATTTGTTAATAATTATTATTTGGAATTTTAATTATTTTGCTTTTAATATTAAAGTTAAAAGCTTAGTTCTAGACATCCATCATTCTTAAGATGTTATAAAAAATCAAGAGATGATAATTCAGGAAATTATATTATTGTTTTGAAATATACAGAAAATGGAATCTTTGCATCAAAATCTTCGTTCAATAACAAAAATAAAGTGGAAAGATAAGTTAACCTTATTGCATTGTATTGCATCTGATCTTCAAATAATTCATTCTCAAGGTCTTATTCATTCATATTTACATAGTAGCAATATCTTGCAAGATAATTTGCATAGTGCATACATTTCAGATTTAGGACTTTCAATGCCACTAATGTTAAGTGCAAAAAAAAGAAAAACATGTGGTATTTATGGGATTTTACCATATATTGCACCAGAAGTTTTAACTAAATGACAATATTCGACAGCATCAGATGTTTATTCATTTGGCATTATTATGTGAGAAATTTTATATGAAAGATTAGTATCTTATGATCAGGAACTTGGATCACAGTTTCAAATTAAATGTGCAAGATCCGGTGTAACGCATAAATTTTCGCTTTCTGTAAAAAATGTTTATATCGCAAATAGATTTTAAAACCACTCTTCGGATTCTAACAAAAAAATTCTTCGTGAAATTTTAGAATAAGCTATCACCCTACCTAACTCTAGAGTTACTTTACCCTAAGCTCAAGTGAGGTTTACATATTTTTTTTGTAAACTTGTTATTACATAGATTTGCAAATTGGTATCCGTATACATTATACTACGCGTAGAATTAGAAATTGTCTTACAAATTTATTATTACAAATCTATTATTACTCTATAAAAATAAAATATTTAATTTTGTATAATTTTGTATATATTAAAAATAGAATTTTACTAAATTTCCACAGGGTGTTGAAACCCGATATAATTTACACATAATCAAGACAATTTTTATTAATATATATAATTTAATTGATTAGAGTTAGGATTAACAACTAGGATTAGAAAAGCTAGCCTAGGCTAAAAATTTTTTCTTAGAGCTTCAGAGATAGTTTCCTAGAAATTTTTTAAAATATTATTTGTATACTTTTTTTATTGTTTTGTGTAATTGGCAAAAAACATTGCGTGATTTTGTGTTATTCTGTGTATTTTTTGTGTAAAAAATTTGGAAATAGTTATTTCCACTGCTTTTTGTTATTGTCACTAGGGTTCTGCAAATGCCGGCATGTGCCCTATTAAAACATAGTGCCAGGCATGGGCACTATGTAGAACGTGCGCCGGCACTAATTGTCACCCCTAGCTGGTCTTTAATCCTAACCCTAACCTTAAATTAGATTATAGTTAGGGTTAAAAAAGGGTGGCATTAACAAAAATAAGGTGGAAATAACAACACCCAAAAATTTTGTTTGATATAGTTTACGATATAATTAGACGAAATGACACCTTTTCAATTATTATATAAATATGAAACGAAAAATAAATTTAATTTCTTTATAGTATTACAAAAACTCCCATCCAAACCATTAAATACCTTATTTACGTTTATGCCACGCATGCCTCAATTTTGAATGTAATACCGCATACAACTTATGTCGCACTTGAGGTTGTCGCTGAACTTGCAATTTCAAGTAGGTACGTACGTACGTACGAATTCAAACACACATACACAATATTTAAACAAAAAGTGTACTACATAATTGTTTCAAAAAGGTTTTCACTTAATTGTACGCGTATACATACATTTTCTTATCCTAGAATTTCAATTATTGCTTTTCGTTAGAAATTGTTTCTTGAAACCATGGAATCACCAACTGCATGGAATGTTAGTGATTTATCTAGCCATTTAAATGTAAATGGACTTGAAGTGAATTATGTAGGCCCGGGTAAAAAATGGGTTGATTCTGCAATGATAAAAACAAATAATCCAATTCCTCAATGTGAATTATACGTATTTTATTTTGAAGTTAATATTATTAATGGAGGTGAAAATGGGATTATTGGAATCGGATTTTGTACTAAAGATTCTAAGTTAGACACTATGCCTGGATGGGGAGATAATTCTTGGGGCTATCGCGGTGACAATGGAAATCTTTATTGTCATTCAGGATGTGCTGAACCATATGGACCACTTTTTACTACCGGAGATATTATTGGATGCTGCTTAAATTTTAAACGAAATATTGTGTTCTTCACAAAAAATGGCGTACATTTAGGAATTGCATTCAAAGATTTTATAAATGAAAATGTTAAATTATATCCTTGTATTGGATTAAGATCGCGAGGCAGCTCTGTTGAAATAAATTTTGGCAATAAAATGTTTAACTATGTAACATTCACTAATTATGACATTGATAATGAAATTTCAAAAGGTGTTTGGAAGATGGCTTTAGATATGCGCAACTACAAACCTTTAAGTGAACAGAAAGACATGTTTGAGAAAATAATAAAAAAAAAAGGAAAAAAAAATCAAAAATTCAAAGTAAAGGCTTATTTTATTTTAGGCAGATATCATAATGCGCACGCAGAATTCAGTTCTGCTTCAAATAATGATGCAGTAATGCTAAGGTATCGAGGAGAAACTTTCCATATGCAAGAAAAATATTCAAGATCACTTAAATCTTTTGAAAGATTGCTAGAAATAAAGCCAGATGATACGTGGCCATTAAAGGCCTGTGAAGAAGTAAGAAGAAAACAGAAACAGGTCGAATCGGAGAGTGGAAAAGCTTATTATGCTCAACAAAAATGCCCCGAGGAAGAAGAAGAAAAGGAAGAGAGAATTAAAGAAATTGAGAAAATGATAGGGATTAATGGAACTAATGAAAACATGGAGGATGAGCAAGTTGAGAAATTAATTGATAGTTTTTTGATTAGTAGAATAAAGGAATTGAACATTATAGATTTTGATGATCGTATGGATTTAAGAGTGAAATGGAATAAATGTAAACAATATTTAAAGCTCTCGAAATTACAAATTTATTTTCTTACATCGACACAACATTATTTAAAAGAAAAAAAGGATCAAGAAAGTTTTGAGAAAATTTTGAAAATAAGCTTGAAAAATTTTTTTGAAATCTTTTGTGACGATTCAAATAAGATAGTCGAGAGTTTGGATGATTTTATTTACTATGAAAGAGATTTTTTGGAAAGAATTTTAAATGTAAAGATTAAGAAGAATGCATCAACTTCTAGTACATACACATATGAATACGTAACTCAACTAAAAAGTGATATGGAATATTCATGTTTAAGATCTGCTGATTTCATAATCCAACCAAGATATAATATAAAGAGTATAAAATATTACGAAATTCCACTATCTACTAGAAAGGAAATAATTGAGAAAATAATGAAAAGTTTCAGGAGGAGGAATAGGGATATTGGGTCGAGAGACCGTATTTATGGAACTTGCGCAAGTTGTAATCTATATAATACATATCACGCTTGGTGTCGAACATGTGATCCTGATATAGAAACTCAAGGATGGTCAAGTAAAGATGAATGCATTGATAATTGTATTAAGGAGTTTCAACGTAAAGCTGCAGCATATGAAGATATAATTGAATGGATTCCATTCAATCGGTTAACTCATAATAAAGTAATTGGCAAAGGAGGATATAGTACGGTATTTTCAGCAATTTGGTTAGATGGAATAAGAACAACTAAACATGAAAATGGAAACTATGTGAGATTACGTAACCGATCATGTGTAGTTGCACTCAAGACTTTGACAGGTGATAAAGCGAATAGTCTTATTGAATTTGGAAAATGCGTGGAATGTAGATTAATCGGTAGTGGACTTAAAATATATGGATTAACTAAAACAAACGATAATGTATATATGATGGTATTTCAATATGCAGATGGTGGAAGTCTTTTTAAATATTTGGTAGAAAATTTTAGAAAGTTTACATGGGAAAATAAATTACAACAGCTTGAATATATTTCGGCAGATTTAGCACAAATCCACAAGGCAGGATATATTCACAGTGACTTACATAGTGGAAACATTTTATGCCATAATAATATATCATATATCACTGACCTTGGAACATCTCGAAAAAAAGATAAGCAGATGCTTGAAGGAATAATTTATGGAGTTATGCCTTATGTTGCACCAGAAGTTCTATGTGGTCAACAACCTTCGCAGGCAGCTGATATTTATGGTTTAGGTGTTATTATGTCAGAAATGACAAGTGGAAAAAGACCCTTTGGCGAATATGAAATCGATGCTGGTCTTGCATACATTATTTGCAATGGTTCACGACCAGAATTTGCTCCGGGAACTCCTGAATGTTATATTAAATTGGCGATGCAATGTATGGATTCTGATCCACAATTACGGCCAAATGCTATTGATATTTTTTCAAACTTTCATCAGTGGAAACAAATTTTAGAATCTGCTGAATGTCATGAAATTAAAACTCAATTCTTAAAGGCTAACAAAGTGATTGAAACATTACAGGTTGATTGTGTAAGGTTTCCAAATTCTGTTTATACTAGTGCAAAAATTAATACACACGAAATTAAAAATAATTTAGGTTTGAATATGGGTTCTCGCAAAATGGAATTTAATATTCCTAATATACGTGATGGGATTTGAAAACTAAACTCTGAATGTTTCAAACATTGTAGTTATACATGTGGGCGGCTTTAAGATGCCTGACAAAACTCATGTGACCAGACTAAACATGTAGTTTCGTCAACAGCAAAAATAGTTTCGCCAAGCATTATGTGCGGCTTCGTCACCAAGTTTTATGATTTAGAAATGATAACTAAATATGTATAAAAATTAGATTTAATTTGAATAAAATCTTATATTCATACTAAATTAATGTGAATTATATTGTTAGCATGTGTAATCTTTTGATTATTGATTTAATTAGGTTGTAAATAACTTAACAACCCAGATAGTTATTTTACATTTTAAAGCATACATGTTAGACGTCGCTTTTAAATAACTGTCGACGTACGTACGTATCAGTACTAGAGATGCGATCCGTTATCTGTTTTTGGTCTAAATTAAGCCCAAAACAGATAACAGATCGCATCTTTAACCAGTACAAATATCAGATATATGCGTATGCAAGCTTGTTTGGAATAAGGAATGAATAAACTTTATTATATCTTCTGTTTTAATGTTATAAAAGTTCTACCTGAATTTAGGATTGCAAATATAGATATAAATTGTAAGTTTACCCAGTATAGCAATCAAAATTCTACCACACGTGATACGTGTTACGTATTGATAAAAATTTTTTAAGGTTCGTCTACGTTAGTTATTGTGGCAGATTAAAATGAAATCAGATTAAAATGAAATGTGCGATAGTGTAAAATAGACAAGCCACCGAAAAATACAAATTTTTTTGGTGCATTTTTTTAGGGTTATGATTAGGGTTTAGAGGCAGGTTTTATAATAAACAAGTATAAATGGGTTTTAGAGGGTCAAATAGAAACCCCCTCATTTCATTTTAATCCGATTTCATTATGTTCTGCGACAGTTATTGTTCACTTGTTCTTGTGCTGTAAGAACCTTGTAACGCGATTGCATATAACATAGTCTTAAAAATGTGATGCAAAGACTTTACGGAATTAGTAATAGTCTTTACTAAACTATGATGCAAAATTCTTTTCAACTTTATTTTTAATTTACAAGATGACAACATAAATACCAAGGAAGGATAAAAGGCATCTTCCGATTAATAGAAACCATTTTTTTAGCAAATTTATTTATAAAGTTTTTAGGTGCCCGGAAAGTGAAAATAATTACAGATACAGGCCCAAATTAAAAATAATTACATAGAAGGGCCTAATTTTTTAAAAA